GATTGTCTTAGGGGTTCTTTGTCTTATAAAGTAAACATAAAATGAACAGCCAGCAAAGCTTTAATTATTATATAAAGAAATATCCATTAGAAGGTCTTTGTATGAAAGAGCATCAAATACATTTAAACGTAACAAAATAAATTAACTTGTTTTGTTCAGAACTGTTAAGCAGTTGTTCTCCCTGTGTAATGTGTTTATTGCATTTAAATTAACAGATGTGGAGATGAACAGACATGGATGGATAGATTAAGACTTCTGTTAAGTCAGAAAACGAAGTTTAAGAAGTCTTTATTTCAGTTTTCTTGTCGTCACAGATAAACGAATTTTAAAGTTATGAATCATTATAAGGGAAACAAATTTTATATTTTCCCTTCCACTCCTACAACCATTAAAATTAATAGTTACAGAAGGCCCACATATAGCTACTATCTTCACTAATGTGACTTAATTTATTAACACTTTGCAGAACAGAAAAATGTTTCGTTTATGTAAAGTTTTGAATGTTTCACAATACGAAACTTCACACGTCTAGTTGCAGATGTTCAGGTGTTTAATTTTCAAAGGAAATCTCAGGGTGTCCATGGTCTTAATTTAAATTTATATGAAAGTGACATAAATAACAGTATTAGATAAAACTTGATTTCCACAAAGCTGTATATTAAAATTGGAAACATTTTGTAAAATTCAACTTTGCTGTTAATATCTCAGTTGTTATGAAACAACCATTTTTTTTGGAAACATGGTAATGAATAGGGGGAGGTCACTGGTGACCTCTCGTGCGGATAGGGGTGTGTGTGACAAAGTGCTCGATAGCACAGAATTATGGGTGAAAGGGAGGGTAACAGTGGTAGAAACGTCTGTGTTTTTTCTTAGGGATTTTGATGTACTGCTTGAGGGGGATTTTTGGGAGGGGGGAGATACATTGCTTAGTTATTTTCATGGGTGATCTCCGTACAATTCGGGCAACTGATTTTCCCGTCATGCCTCATAGACATTTAACAACGTGACGTTTGTGTGTGTGTGGGGGGGGAGTGAGTATTTCTGTGTTATCTGCAGGGATGTTGCTGTGTGAAGTCTGGTAGAAATTTGCCAAAGTTTCGCCCTGATGATGGAGGCAATAACCAGCTCCGAAACATCGGTCAATTTCTTTCAGATTACTCTTTGCAACTACCCGGAGAGAGCCTGAAATATCGCTACTGTGTTATCGATGAAGTACTGTATGAATCAATATCAAATGTAAAATAATATTAAATTGTGTTTAAGATTTAAATAATGACGCTGTAGTAGAATAATAAAATAATGAATGAATAATGGATCGGAAATAATATGATGGAGGCAGGTCTGATTAAAATCACGAAAAACTCTAGTCAGGAGAGCGGGTCTTAATGATGAGGTTTCAGTGTTCTCATACACTACTCGTTACAAACACTCTGCAACGTCATTTGTGGTGAAAACACAAAATGATTACCAAGTCAATTCCTTTCTACGTTGTCGCTACGCAACGGAAAATTGAATAATTTTCAGATACTTAACTGTACTTTCAGGCTTAGTTAGCAGAAACTGAATATTTCATTATGATATCAAATTGAAGATGGCTTCCAAGCTTATAGAATGAAAGACTTTTTTATTATTTGGCTATGCATGCTAATTCTAACAAATTACTTCTCTCTGAGATTTGTTTAATACAGTTACTTATCGTATTTAATATGGTCACTGTTTTAGAGAGAATATTCAGTCTTTCTTTCTATTAGCAGATTAATTTGCGATATTTCTGCAATTCTCTGGCAGTGACGTCGGTTTATTCATTCGGCTGTAATCTCATATACGAGACGCTTTTCTCAGTAAACGGATTTTACCCTTACTATGTATTAAGAACTCTAATTGAAATAGCAGCCGAGGATATTACGCTGCAATCACTACGGCCAGCGAGGGTCACAATTTAAATTGAAGGCTTAAAGGAATTAATCTCTTTATATAGCCATCTGCCCACTTCTCATTCAAGATTTTTACTTCAAATAAATTAACTTATATGCATTTGGAGACGTTACACATAAAGCAGTTCAGAATTATAAAGGTCTTGTTACGTATTCTAAAGACGAGCGGGAATTAATTTATTTTGTGAACACGTTTTTTGTAAATTTGTCTGTGATCAGTTGAAAACAGTAGAAAAGTATCGTTTTAGAATAAAATAAAATAATTTCTGAAAATGGTAACATTGGTAACCTCAGTACATCTGCGAATGTACTCCTATTCTCGTTAGTACAGACTATAGATCGATAGACTGAACCCCAGGAGATTCGGGGTACAAATTTCGGCCTATACACAGGACATCCCGAATAAGGGACTTTGTGCTTTCTCTCAGTCATTCCAGGAAAAATCCGGGATAGTATCTTAACGCGTTCTTCTATACCCTTACCAATTAATTATTTAATATAATTTCATAATTAGTTTCTACATATACCGTAGCAGTTGATTATTTTTAATATAAACAAAATAATAATAAAATCAACCAATAGAAGGCAAGTTTAATACTGATCACTCACCCCCATCTAGTGTCGAGGTCAAGAATGAGTCTAAAGCAGGTTGGGCCAACCCAAATGATCTTTCGGGCCACTTTGGAAATGCATCATAACTCCGCGGGCCACATATAAAATTATATATCCCCATATTAGATTTAGATACACTATAGACATTTTTTTGAGTGAAAAATTGAAACATAATGAGTTATTATTATTGTGTTTACTATTATTCTTACATGTAAACATAGACAACACACTGTTTGCCGAGATAGGCTTAGGTTCGAAAACAGTTTACTTTTATCAGGTAAAATATCCTTCACAACAGCTTCCAAACATTCTGTCACAAATTTACCATCCGAAAATGTTTTCATTTTTTTTACAATCACAAATGAAACAGAATAGCTTGCCTTAACAATATTGGAAGGTTGCTGTAATGCTGCACCAAACATTTTTTGTTGAGCCTTTAATTGCGACTTAAACTCCTTGAGCTTCGATTGTTTCACTTCTTTATCGAACTTCAAATAATCCTTATGTTTTGTTTCGTAATGCCTCTTAACATTATATTCCTTAAATACAGCAACGACCTCTCGGCAAATTAAACATAATAATTTTGTATTTTGAACTATGAAGAAGTACTTTTCTTCCCATTCATCGCTATACTTTCTATTTTCATCCACTATTCTTCTTTTCTTTGCAGTCATACTGAAAATAAGAGAGATATTAAATATATCTATTTTTAATTGTTAAATTAAAAGTCATTTTTAATTTAATAGGAGTTATTACCTGGCTGTTGTTGTTTTAAATATGTTGTTGAAGTACAGGCATATTAAAATAATTATCCTGCAGTCACAGCACACAAAACGAAACCAAAAAGCAAATTTTCACTTGAAACTGAGAGTCTGCTCTGCTCTGCTATCAACAATCAACTGTGCGTATCTAGGTATGGTCACTGCGTCACTGAGGGCACTTAAGAGTGAAACATAGAACCTGTTATATTAGATGTTCCAAGATGCACGCGCATCATGAGTTCGCAGAATATAGTTTAATTATTCTGCGAACTCATAACTGTAAACTCATGAATAAAACAGGCAATATCTGTCATATATTATTATTTTAAAATCAAAGTTAATTTTTTCTCATAATTTCGACAGATAATTTTTGAATATATGGATGCACAAATAATGTATTTTTTTAATACATTGGTTTTCACTACTTTGGCCATTATAAAATAAATATATTTTGTAAAAGTGTGATGAATCTCGCGGGCCGGAAAAATGTTCAAGGCGGGCCACTTGCGGCCCGCGGGCCGCGGGTTTGGATACCCCTGGAGTAGGAGCTATACCTACTCTCCCCCAAAGCGCCTACGTGGCTTATAGTGGGACAGATTTTTATACCAAATTTTGAATGTTTATATCTGTTTATAGCTTTAAATAACTGTGTTATAATGGAACGACTTTGGTACACGGACATGCAGGACAGACGGATGACTTTAAATAACGTACAGATTTGATTTCGGTAGTTGGCATCAAGGTGTTTTGAGCTTCTTGGTACTTAAAATCTCAGATGACGAACTTACTTCATTTCTAAAAAAATCTCACTTTTCTGTCCCTTAACCAATATGCTTCAAGGGGTAATCTATATTACCACAGAAATCGGAACGCTCCCCTAGTCCGTGTGTGACAGTCCGTAAGTTATAATGACGTAGCGTTCTCCTCTTATCAGTTCTCAATCCTCTTCGTAACACGGGAGTGGGGGCACAGCCTCTCCTACTAATTCCAACGAATGTATTCATACATACACTAACTCAGTATTAGACGTGCTTAGTTTTATAAACTTAATCTTAAGCCACTGGTTAAAATTGGGAAGTATTTACTTCTGTGGAAAGGACGTCTTCTGGAACGTTCTACCGTGTTGTCTGATAGAAACTGAGCGACATTAAAGAGGTGCCTACTACCTGCATAATCAGGGTGATAACATTTATTTTACGGTAAAATCATATATTCCTACGCATTTCTGTATTTAACTTCCAGAGCTTTTGAGGCATCACGAAGGCCGTGTTTATGGATTGTGGTGGTAACAATTATCGCGCTGCCTAGCCGCGTTCACTTCTCGATTAAAAATGTAACGCTAATCTTGAATAGCTACGTTTCAAAATGAAATTAAAATATTGTATGATATGTGTATAATAAAATCCTCTCGGGCTATCAGCCGAGTCAAGGGGTTAAGACATGAAGAGACCAACGTTTCGAGGTCCACTTCAGTACCCTGAGGACGAGAACAGAGATGGACCTCTAAACGTTGGTCTTTTCATGTTTTAACCCCTTGACTCGGCAGACAGCCCGAGAGGATTTTATTATAAATTAAAATATCTTTTCTGTATTTGTTATTTTTCTCTCATCTAGTAAATCGTAGACTGTGTCATATTTAGGGTGCCTAGTTCATTTCTGGTAGATGACGCTTTGATGAATCGGTTCTTTACAGGATCACTCAAATTTCTTCTTAATCGTCATTCATCAGTGCTCCACGGCCAAGTTTCACCGCCCCACGAGGTGTGAGTCAGCCTTGACCTAGCAGAACATTATCATACCCTCGGTAATAACTTAGGGGCTTCAGTAAGCCCCGGTACTTGAATGGTCTACCAGTAAAGGAAGTTAAATATACTATTTTTTACATGAAAGGTTTTATTCCTAATTTGATTTTTGTTACTACCAAATTTAGACTCCGTAGTGTCACACTAACGTGAGTCGAGAATCAAAGCGTGAGCAGTATATTTTCATTATGTTTATAAAACATTTTAAGGAAATTCACGCGTCATAGTTATATTCAACCTACATTACGAATAACATCCACTCTAACCGCAATGCTTTTTATTTTCAGATTCCACCCTCGTTTTGAAAGAAAGAGTAAGGAAACGGAGAATGTGAATACATGTTTCTATAAAGCGTTCAGAAAGCATTAAGCTGTGTTTTTAGTGTGAAAAAGAGAGAGATGTAGGAAAACATTTGTTAGCAATGTTTCTGCTACTGAATGAGAGGGGTGCGTTCTAGAGCAGCTCTTTTTCGCCTCCCTGTTAGTTGGGTGCGCTCGACTGTGTCCCTCTTATATTGATGTTCTACAGTGCGCATAATGACAGAGATTTAGACTAAACGTACAGCTAAAGTACGTATTTTTCAAAAGGAAAACCGAAGACAAAGAAACAAGTTCTATTTCTGCACCCCCTTAATCTTCTTACAGCCTGTGATCATATCAGTGGTATATAATGCACCGCGTCGTACTCTGAAATAAAACCTAGAACGAAGCAAGCGCACATGTGGTGATGGAAAGGAACTGAATCAAAAGATAACCTGCGTATAAAATTCGCTTTCAAACCTAGCGTTTTAATGGTGAAATATTATTTATAAATGAATAATATTTTGACACTATTATCCCACAGCTTTTAGAGTTTCATGAATAAATCTGTGTGTAAAAAGGGTATTTGATCTTACAAAAAACCAGGCCACGTATAAAATAATTTTACTTTTTGAGCGGATAATTAATCCATTCGGTACACAAACTTTAATATGTTATAAAAGAGAAAATTTTTATTTGACAACTTAGCGTGTTCTGAAATTATATACACGATATAAAGTTAATCTCATACAATTAGCGTGCTCTTCTGAAAACATGATTCATGTCCTAAATATTTCGAAACCGTCTCCTAGAATCGTCGAATTGTAGCCGGTATTCTTGCATACCTATCAAAATAACACTGTTTAAAAAAAATATAAAATTAATTATTAACAATTACAAATTAAATCCTAAAATAATATTTTCAAGTTATATAAGACAACCAGAACTATCACGAAGATAATTGGCTTGATAATTATCCGACGTTTTGGAGGCGCTTACTACCGCCAGAATCAGGGAGATGATATAAGCACCTCTGAAACGTCGGTCAATTTCTAAGTGCAACATCCTAGAAATCAATAATCTTCATACTTACATTTGTGAGAATGTAAAATGTCAGTAAGAATTAGTATTTTTAATGTTACATTGATGTATGAGCGGTTTCATAATTATGTAGTGTTTACTGAAAAAATATAAATTATTATGACATTAAAATTTATTAATAGTTTTATTTACATACAGAATGTCACAGAAACATAATAACAAGGAATTATGCACAAAACTCTTTAAAAAAAGAAAAGTTCTTTACATTTTATTCGTAATTATTTCTTTCCATTTAGTAACGTAGTAAATGTATGAAGTTTTTCTACGAACTAGAGATTCAGAAGCGAGACGCCTTTCCGGCATATTTTCAAATCTTTTATGTTCTTGTAGGATGTATGTGACTCTCTCATTTCGCCGTCAGATTTACCATTTTTGTCCTTATTTACGAAGCATCAAAGGGAAATTTCACACCATAAAATTGGTCCTGCCTTCAAAGCAAATCAGAGAGTTTTAAGCTAAGAGATGGGGCCAATTAAAATTGAACGCCAAACATTAAGAAGGGACATTGAAAATGTTCGTTAAGAAAACTTTGTTACCGCTTCATATTTCAAGTAATCTTATCTTTTCATCAAAGTATTGCTAAACTCCGTCGTTAATTACGTGCGAGTAACTGCGAAAATAAGAGAAAATCTCGTGTTGTACTCGAGAACACAGAAGTTATTTTACAATATGAAAACGATGAATAGTTAACGAATTTATTAAAATGTGTCAGATCGAAAAATACGATTGGCAGAGCACGTAGTACGTATGGGAGAGATTGGAAATTCACACAAAACTTTAGCAGCAAAGAATGAGGGAGAAAGAATACTTGGTAGATGTAAACTTAAATGGAAAGATAATATTACAACGGACATTAAAGAAATATTTTGAGAGAGAGAAACTTTTACAAAGTGAACCATTTTCGTTGACAGAAATGTACATTGTGTGTCTTCTCATACACGTTACATTTGTCAAGTTATCTTGCGCAGAAATTGTCCTGTCTGTGCCTTACGTTGTCACGAGGGTAGAATTATGAAGAGGCTGTTTCCATACTTCCGTACATTCTGTAATGAAGTATTTCTCCTACAAGGACCAAAATGCCGAAAGCATGACCAAACAAGAGAATAAAAAATACAACTTGTAAATGAACTAGTGAATATGATAAATTATCACCAAAGAAATTATTTTGAAAGATTTCTTCAAAATTAGTGTCATCATTGTCTATTCGTTGGCCCGCTAATCTTGTATTGGACAGAAAATCTCTCTTCCATTTATCAAACAATCCAGCTTCGATTAAATATTTTAAAATCTCATTAAACTTATATAAAAGTGGATTTCCTTTTGCCATGTAAGTTGATATGCTGTACCGCATAATGTCACTCGGCAAACTACAAATCGGAATATGGATATTATAAAATAACAATCTAGTAGAAACATATTGTACATGAAAATCGTCGGCTATTGTAGAAAAATTCTTGTGTCTTATAACTCTTTCTAAGCACTTGAAAATAGACAGGCATGTCGTTCGGTTTTTCTTAATAATATCGTACGTAGGGTCTGAGAATTGTATGTTATCCATATCATTTGTAAATCCGTATTCAATTCCTGATTCAAGTATGTCATTTAACGTACTAAGACTTTTCTCAAAACCTGGATTTACAATGAAACCAACAAAGTACGCCTGGTAAACTGTGGTCAATGCAAGGGAGTACCATACCCACACCACAAAGAACATCCTGAGACTACTAGATACAGGCATTTTATGTGCAGATATTCCAATTGTTATGGCCCAAACATTGTACGCGCAATTCATTATCGTCATGTAATTCGTTGATTCTCGAATACTAAATTTAGTCGAATATCTTGCCAGTAGCCACATTGTTATTACTGCTAAAACAATAAATAAACAGAAACACATCCACACATTTAAGGAGAAAAACTGGTAGAAAGATCTCCAACGTGAGGCATGTTCCGGGCATGGAACATACCACTTCAATTTAAAGTCAAAATAAGAACGGGTAGACTCGGCGGAAACATTGATTCCTCCAAAGGGCAGAATACCGACAGACATGTCTAACGAAGCAGGTTGGAGTTTACTAATAGCGTAATAGAATTGTTGGTAGTGAGACTTGAATATGTACGGTATTTCATTATATTCTACTGTCAAATTAAGCTTCTTAAACACAATCGTTAGGTATTTAAGTTCAAGGCCTGTGTATTTTAGGTCTGGTGTCTTTGTCACTGCAGGTGGATAAATAAAAGTTGTCACTTTTGATTTGCATCCGTGGAAAGTTTTGGGAACTTTTTCTGGAAACAGCTGTGCCTTAAGAACAAATTCTCCTTTCGAAATCCACTTGTCTATGAGTGCGACCTTCAGATCCTCACAGTACGCGTGTGACGTGTAAGGTAACCAAGTGTACAATTGTAATTCTACTTGTGAATTATTACTTTTCGGTGCCAAATTTGCATCAGTTTTATAATTGATAGCAGTTATTATTAACAATACGTTCATAATACTGTATTTTTTCCACATTACCTTAAAGATTCTGTTTCCAAGTCGCTGTAATGAAACATTTTCAGCGACCGAGGCTACAACGATGAATCTAGCTTTAAAATTCCACGTTTTTCTTCTCTCCAACATATTTAATTGTTCGATTATGCTGTCTGATACTTCATCATCTTGTTTTTCCTCAAACCCGGTAAAAACTACGCAGCTATCGAATTTGAAGTAGTCTTCATGTTGTGTTTCCGGTTCAGGGGCGCCGGGTCGCGACACTTGGACAGACCTTCCCGTGTCCTCGCTTGTTTTCCGTAGGAATGCGTCAACCGTGTGGAAATCAAAGTCTTCACCAAAGGGATACTTGTGCGTGACTTTACGAACGGTGGCGTTGTTTGGTAAAGATGGCAGCGAGATGAGCAAGGTCTGTCTTGGCGTTAAGTGTAGCTGAAGGATCTCGTTGAGACATATCAGAATGTGACGCTGTTTACTTGTCATCAGCGCGTCGTCATGTGTGGAAAAAGAAGCTTGTAAGATGCCCAGACATTCTAAGAATATGATTATAGTTGTCACGTGCATGTTCCTTTAAACAGAATTGTTTTAAACTGTTTATTTTAACAGCCGTATGTAAGTAACAAATTTATGTACGTAATACTGTATATAGCTACTCAGTAAGATACTCATTTGGTAGTTTGGTTACTTAAATTTAATTTTTAGTAGCAGATCTGTGACTTAATGAAGTTATTAACAAAACTTACAATAAAGTAATAATAATCCGTGTAAGAAAGTGACAGTAAGACAAAATCCTGTTGCTTCTTGCGTGAATAATTTTATAAGACATGCAGAATTTAACATTCGAAATATTTGCATGAATTCTTTTCTAGCTTGAAACATACCACATAGAAAATATTAATTACTCACTCTATAATATTTTAAAGCGATCATTAATATTTAAGTGACCCACTGACATTTATTCATAATCATCACCGACTTCATCAGCTGCTTACCTGGCAATGTTCGGGATCAATAATGTTGCACCCATATTTTATGAAGATTTCCTATAATTATTCTTCTTCTCTGAAATAAAAATAATTATAATTTCTCACACAAGCCGTCCTTTTAAATAGATTTTTTCAACGTTTAATATTTGTTATTTAGTTCAAAACTAAATATTCAATATTGGATCGCTAAAGAGCTGGTAACCGTCTACCAGACAACTTCGTACTGTCTTGTTTTCAGTATTAAAAGGGCTATTATGCACGGAATAAAGAAAGTTCTGACGTAAATTCAAAAATTACAAGTGATTGGAATTAATTTGAAATATGTAAGTGGTAAGCCTGTACTAACAGTTGTTAACATTACGAGTCATTTTACTAATGAATATATTTTATCAGATAAACTCCCACAGGTAAGTCACACGTTACGTGTTATAGAGTAATTGATGATTAAATATTTAAAATGGCTACTAGACAATATTTAGAGTTAAAAGGAAAACATGGCATGTGAATTACTACATGTCCCATGAGAATAATTGACATTTAATTTTTTTGTGTTGTCAGTGGGCGTAAAGTATTCAGAATGAAAACACGCAGCCAATATAACGAACCAACAAATAATGAATTTATGGACTTTTGGGAACTTAGTTAATTATATTGTTCAATTATTGTAATAGGTAATACGATATGAGGGAAGTGACTCGCATTCTAATTTACTGGAATATACACCAATGGTCGTTTATAAGAACTTTCCTAGGCTTATGAAACCGAAGGATATACATATACGTAACATAGTTATACGTATAATTAATGCAGTTGGAAATTTGTGGAGTATCATTATAATTTTAATATAGTTTATGTGATCAAAATTAAGATTATAAAGCCTGAAGACGAGAGAACTCAAAAGACCTAGACGTAGATGTGAGAACAAATATTAAAATCAATCTTAGGTAAAGAGGGATTTTGAAGTAGATTAGATTCAGTTTGTGGATAGGTGGCTTGTTCTTATTAACGGGATAATAAACCATCAGTTTTCATAAAGGCCATGGAATTCCTTGGCTAACGTATCGTATCATAGGGTCTGAGGAAGGATTCTAATTAATAAAGTTAGTTAATTATTAACAAAGCAATTTTTTTAACTCTGAAACTAATGTAATATCTTATTGTATTCAAATATATATTTATTATTCAAGTCTATACACAAACTTTTAAATTGTAGATGTTAAAATTTAAAATTTAAAATCACCATTATGGTGATTTTAAATTTTAAATTTTAACATCTACAATTTAAAAGTTTGTGTATAGACTTGAATAATAAATATATATTTGAATTTTGAACACAAACATGACGCATCTAAACTATAAATATAATCTTATTGTATGTTTATCAAGATATCTATATATTTATTATATCGGATGAAAATAAAACACTACATTACGTGTACAAGATACAACGAAATATTTTCATACAAAGTCATTTACCTATATCGAGAAAATCGATATCTACTATTTTCCAACCTTCTTTTGAAGTGACTAATGCGCTTGTATCTCACTGGTTTACGTACAGGATTCCT